AGGGGGGGGGAGGGTGTGAGGGGGAGGGGGAGCCGCGCGCGCCGGGGTGGGCGGGGCTGCGCGTGCGCGGCCGTTGCGCCGGGGGGGCGGTGACGCCGGGGCGGCGCATGCGCAGTGGCTCGGTGAGAGTTTGTGGTGCATGTAGAATTTAATTAAAAAATAACGCGAACTCAGTTAATGGGATTTGAGGGGTTTGTAATGGCGTGAGCAGCCCCTGGGCACCCCCCGTAACTCGAGGATGTGGGAGCCACGGGATCTCCCTGGAACCCCCCATTTTTGTGTGCCCTCCCACATAAACAGCGGTTTGTTTGGGGTAGGACCTACAAACAAACGGCAGAACCGGTAAATAAATAATAGGGCGTGCAAATAACGAACTGTGCGGAGATGACAGCGCCACGGGTGGGGGTGTTACAGCCCCGGCTGCGGCTGGGGGTCCCCCCGTTTGTGGGTTCCCCCCGTTTGTAGGTCCCCCCGTTTGTGGTGCTCCCGTTTGTGGGTTCCTCCCTTTTATGGGTTCCCCCCTTTATGGGGTGTCCCCATTTATGGGTTCCCCCCGTTTGTGGTGTCCACGTTTGCGGGTGCCCCCCGTTTTTGGGGTGTCCCCGTTAATGGTGTCCCCGTTTCTGGGGTGTCCCCCCAATTTGTTTTGGGGTGTCCCCCATAAGCGGTGTCCCCGTTAGTTTCGGGGTGTCTCCCATGAGCGGTGTCCCCCATTAACAGTGTCCCCGTGTTTGGGGTGTCCCCGTCACTTTGGGGGTGTCCCCATTATCGATGTCCCCGTTAGTTTCGGGGTGTCGCCCATGAGCGGTGTCCCCGTTTCTGGGGTGTCCCTGTGTTTGGGGTGTCCCGTTAATGGGGTGTCCCCGTCAGTCCCGGGGTGTCCCATTAATGGTGTCCCGTTAATGGTGTCCCGTTTCTGGGGTGTCCCTGTGTTTGGGGTGTCCCGTTAATGGTGTCCCGTTAATGGTGTCCCGTTAATGGGGTGTCCCGTTAATGGGGTGTCCCTGTGTTTGGGGTGTCCCGTTAATGGGGTGTCCCGTTAATGGGGTGTCCCTGTGTTTGGGGTGTCCCGTTAATGGGGTGTTCCTGTGTTTGGGGTGTCCCGTTAATGGGGTGTCCCTGTGTTTGGGGTGTCCCGTTAATGGGGTGTCCCGTTAATGGGGTGTCCCTGTGTTTGGGGTGTCCCGTTAATGGGGTGTCCCCGTCAGTCCCGGGGTGTCCCATTAATGGTGTCCCGTTAATGGTGTCCCGTTTCTGGGGTGTCCCTGTGTTTGGGGTGTCCCGTTAATGGTGTCCCGTTAATGGTGTCCCGTTAATGGGGTGTCCCGTTAATGGGGTGTCCCTGTGTTTGGGGTGTCCCGTTAATGGGGTGTCCCGTTAATGGGGTGTCCCTGTGTTTGGGGTGTCCCGTTAATGGGGTGTCCCCGTTAATGGGGTGTCCCGTGTCCGGGGTGTCCCCGGCAGTTTGGGGTGTCCCGTTAATGGCGTGTCCCTGTGCTTGGGGTGTCCCGTTAATGGGGTGTCCCCGTTAATGGGGTGTCCCGTGTCCGGGGTGTCCCCCGGCAGTTTGGGGTGCCCCCCAGGGCCATGGGGCGCTCCTCCAAGGACAAGCGGGACATTTATTACCGGCTGGCCAAGGAGGGCGGCTGGAGAGCGCGCAGCGCCTTCAAACTGCTGCAGCTGGAGCAGCGCTTCCAGCTCCTGCAGGGTACCGGGAACCGGAAACCGGGAACCGGGAACGGGGCAGCGGCGGGT